GTGTGTGTGTGTGTGTGTGTGCGTGTTCGGTGGTGCAGGTGAGAAGGAGAGAGAGATAAAGGTTGAAGAAAGAGAAAGGATGGGTGAAGTGATTTGGTGGGTGTGGGTAGGGGTGTTCACGGTTCGGTTTTAACCGAAAAAAACTGTCAATCCGGACCGCGGATTGGTTAAATGGTCGGTTAAAAAAGCTTTAAAAAATCCGTTGGTTAATTTTTTTAAAAATCCGGAATAACCGGTCCGGTTAACGGATTACCTGCGGCAAACCGCCGGTTAACGGGACCGGACCGGTAAACATAAAAAAAACTATAACAAATATATATATATATATATACATATTAACATATATACATTCAGTCATTCACTATGACCGACAAATATAATACATTCACTTTCAATTTTTGGCATTTTGTTGACTTAATTTTGTAAGAGACTATAACTTTTTACTTTTTTTTCACCTTGCTTGGTTTCAGTTTGCATTATTTAATCTTCTATCATTTTGTATTTTTATGTTTATGGGGTGAAATGTGTATTTTTATGCTTATGTGACGAATTGTGCATTTTTTATTTCATTATTGTTGTTTTTCCTTAATTTTTAGGCCCAAATAATCTATTTTGGGTCCAAAATTGAAAAATAAAAATTAAGCCCAAAATGAAAAAAATAAAAATTGAAGGCCTAAACAAGAATTTTGGATTTAACCGGTTAACCGCCAAACCGGACCGTCCAATGTGGTCCGAATTGTGGCCGGTTAAAAAATAAAACCGGTTCGGTTATGGACAAGAAAAAAAATTATCCGTTAGATCCGGTTCGGTCATGGTTTGAGCTAAAACCGGACCAATCCGGACCGTGAACATCCCTAGCCACCATCATAAACTTATTGACTAACACCCCTTGTGCCATAAAGTTTTATCTAGCCTACCAATAAAGAACAAAAGAACTACTTTTTTTTGTTTTCTCGCACACACTTTGAGACCTACTTTGTTGGTGTACAATAGTGCTGACAGCCAACTGTTAGGCTCCGTTATGAAGCCAACAGTCAATGGCACAGTTCCATATGAGGCTGTTCCACATAGCTCCAACGTGGAACAACCTCACATGTAGTTGTCTCATTGATTGTTGGCTCCATAACGGAACAGTTAGTTCCTTAAAATTACTGTGTTTTGTGTAACGTACGCACGAGTTTTTATAACTGTCAAAAGTGTAGGGAGTAAAAGAAGACGACGAACTTTGCAATTGGGCAGACCAAATATTTTTTTATTGGTTCAATCTGATACTAACAACAAAAGAATAATAATAATAAAAAAAAAAAAAATCAGCACAGGGCTCAAATTAATCACTTATGGCATGATTGTTTATAAAATATTTCATCCAAAATATTTCATTTTAGTTAACTATGGTTAAAATTGAAAAAATAGTGTGGTTAATTATTAGTGGGATTTAAAAAATATATTAAAATAATATTTAAAATAAAATAATTAAAATTGATTTGATATAAAGTAGGAGATAAATGATTGGAAATGATTGGTAGTTAAAATTATGTGAGTGGATGAATAGTAAATTAAAGTTGATGTGATGTGTAAGAATGATTGGTTTGTATTATTTAATTATATAAATAATATTAAAGATAGTGAGATTGAGTTAAAGATGAGGTAAATTTTGAGTTAAAATATTTTGTAAACAATCACCCCCTTAGCTGTTGAAAAACTTTTGAAATTCTCAATTTAGGATGGAATTTGAGATGGTGCATCAGTTATATAAACTTTTCAATGACTACTTATGTTATGGAAAAGACAACAATCCCGTCAAGGAATAATTTCGTGAGAGATTTTAGCCTTTAGGTATACGTGTGAGTCAGTTATTTTATATAATCCATGACTAAAATCCCTCACGGAACCATTCCGTGACGAGACTGTAGTTTTTTCCTTAGATTCTAGTGAAGTTATAGCATAAACAAATATTTATACAAAAAACCAGTTTTCATTTCATAAATAACACAAATAATAAATAACAGTCAATTATTATTATTAGATATGACCACGGGCTGCCGGTTCGGCCAAAACTGCCCCGATCACACGAAGTCGGCCGGCATATATGCGAAACAACTAGATGGGTCGACGAGTCTTCTATTCTCCTGCTATTCAGAACTACTCATACTTCCACCTTATGCCGTGACTCGGGTATTCCCCATCACTAGAGCGGCGTACTAGTTATCATGCGGAGCCAGGTGAAAATAACTCGATCCCTCATTCAATGTCTTTCATATATATATATATATATATATATATATATATATATATTGATGTAGGGAAGCATACAAGTAGATGATATTAATGAGATCGCAATCTCAAGAACATAAAAAACTATATCAAATTCATAATTCATATTCAACTTCAACTCCCCTAAAACAATAGATAAGGAACCCTTTAAATAAGGCTCCTAAAATCTACTTCTAACTTGTTCAACAAGACAAGA